TTAATCCATATTTTAAGGATAAAGGTATTTTTTACATTAATTAAAAATGAATTATACCGTACTCTTAATGCCCATTATGCACTTGATAAATTAAAAAAGTGCCAGTTAAGCATGAGAGGCTATTAGATTGAAAACATTTAGTAATAAATGTTCATAGCTACTTGGTGAAGCTTCAGGCTATTCCTGGTAATCAGGTCGAAGATAGCTACCATTCCAATAGCTATTTTGAGCCATGACATGACTCATGCAAATGCCCATGACCACTTAAGGTTAAATATTCATCAAATTAGGTTGGGAGAGAAGTATTCTTTGGAGACTGAAGATCACTCTCACTTCCTGCTATAGATTCCTGGTGTCTTTTAATTTAAAAGCTGTAATATCAATGATGGAACAGCATGGTATTGCAAAAATAATATTGCCTAACCCAACTTAACATTTCACCTCTTCCATAACAGCCACCACCAAGTAGAATGCCAAGCACTAACCTATTAGGGCTGTTTTCAAATATTCTGGAGCATATGCCATAGGTCTGGTTACGCAACTAAAGTTTTTGACAATTATTCAACAAAACTCAGGCATTTTACACTTTTCAATACTGTACATACAACCTGTGTAGCTTGTGGAATAGGCAAGTACTTCTTGTACAAATGTCTGTTGGGTGTGATATTAACCCTTTGACTGTCGCAGTCATATATATACATCTTACGAGGTACCGTGTTTGACGTATATATACTCAAAAATTTTAGCGGCTTCAAATCAAGCAGGAGAAAGCTGGTAGGCCCACATGTGAGAGAATGGGTCTGTGTGGTCAGTGTGCACCATATAAAAAAAATCCTGGAGCACGCAGTGCATAATGAGAAAAAAAAATCCGACCGTTTTTTTTAATTAAAATGCCGACTTTGTGGTCTATTTTCGTATAGTATTTATGATTGTATTCTCGTTTTCTTGGTCTCATTTGATAGAATGGAAAACATATTATAGAAATAGAGGTGATTTTGATTGATTTTACTATAAAAAAGAACCTAGAAATGGAGCTCAAAGTAGGGGAAATGTTTGATTTTTGCCAATGTTCAAAAGTAAACAAATGATGCCATTGTCCAATAAATGTCCAACTAGCCATTCTAATATGCAGTCATGAATGGGTTGATGTTATTTATACAATTATTACAGTATTGCAGTAGTCTGCATAATAGTAAGTCTTCTATTTTTTGTTTGAATAAAAATTCAAAATAGAAAGCAAGAGTAATATCAGAGGGGCCTGGAGACATGACTGATGAGCAAAGAAAATGTTATTTTAGAGCCAGGAATGTCTGCATTGTTCATTCTGGACCTTATTTTGAAATTGTCATATTTTTTAGTTTTCGTGAAATTGGCCAAATTGCAAATTTCTGACCACATTATTAGGTAGTTGAAATCGGTAAATGGGCAGTTTCTTGTACTCAATCGATAGAAAAAATGGAGTTCTAAAAAAACAGCTATGAGTTTGGGCGATTGGAACAATGGAATTAGCCGAAAATAGGGCTCAAAGTGGGCGAAATCTCTGATTTGTAAACAGCACCGAGGTCGCTAACTTCGCGAGAGCATAATTCCGTCAGTTTTCCATCAAATTTAGTTTTTTTTGGTGTCATTACAATCGGGAAAAGATTCTCTATCATTTCATAAGAAAAAATAATTTTTTTTTTTAAATTTTGCGACACCAGGAGACACCTCAGGATTGGGGGTTGCGACAGTCAAAGGGTTAACAAAGATCAGTAAAGTTAGGATAGGCTATGTTAGGTTAGCTATTGTTTAGTATAGGCTAAGTCAGGCAAGGTAATGTTTGATTCGGTTATGAAAATGCCACCAATCTCGATTTACATTTGGTTGGGTGGCGAGACACCTCATTGTGCTGCACAACCTATGTAAATGTATTAATTTTCCTTATATCTCCCAAATGTGGAGACCCCTAGCTCTGGAGCAGCACAGTAAAATCACAAGAAACAAATATTGAGATTTCTCAGAGACAACCCAACTCACAAATGTTCAAGGTATTTTATCCAGTGTGGCATATTAGTCATTCTGGAAAAAATATTTTCTATTTCATGATGTGCATAGGTTGTATGTACCAAAAAGTGTAAAATAATGACCAAATTCCATCGAGTAGTTGCAGGTAACTCTTGTAATTTAGGCATTGTTACTTCCTCCATACTATGCTCCTCTGCAGTTCTAATTTATAGTTTGTGAATTCAGAAAAATAGGCATACACAGATGCTCAAATTTGTTTATCATTTTCATTTCATAAAGGGTGAAGGCACCACATATCTAAGTCATTGACAATAGTGAGTTATCTAGGTGGCAGACTTTTTAAAGTATAACAATGATTTGTTTAACAATAAAAAGGTACTAATTTCTAATATTAATGTACTGTATTATCAAATACTTATTTTTTATCCCTTGATAGTGATGAATTATTTCTGTACTTTAATATGGTTTTCATCACTTTTACGGACATTGAAATATGTACGTTTTCTTCAGTTATCCAACAATGAAATATTTCTAGAAAGTAATGCATATAGGCATTAATATTTGCTCTCACAACAATATTTATGCTAAAATTTGTCAGTCTTAAATACTGTTTACTATAATGTACTATAGTGAGGCCCGGAAGTAGACCTACTGGCCAATTCTAGGCAGATCATCCTTCCTCAAATTAATTTTTTTTTTTTTACACAGATCAGTTTTTTACAGGCTAAGAGCTGCTCATTTCAAAGCCCAACCTATCTAAGGTATAATACGTACTACCCCCACCCTCCAAGATGCAACCCACAACAGTCAGCTAACACCCAGGTACCTACTTACTGCTAAGTGAACAGGGGAAGCAGGTGTATGGAAACATGCCCATATTTCCACCCAGTCAGGGATTGACCCACAGACACTCAGTGTGTGAGCTGAGTACACAACCAAGCCATGGGACACACTCACTCTAAGAATTACGAGAATAGAAAATAAGTTTTACTAATCTTATATACAGAAGAATTCTCCACCAGTAGCAAAATGCTGGAGACCTTCCTTAACCAATCAGTGACTTGGGAGTGCATGGGGCTCAACCACAGCAAATAACCTAAAACCTTTAATAACCCAACAAAAAGCTGCAGTGCAATTGAGTACTAACCTCTGCACTAGACAACATACTCCACTGCTTTTCAAGTGACTTAACTTGCTTAATATACAAAACATCCACACTTATTATTGCGCCTACTAAATACACAGAACACTACCCGCAAATATAAACCCTCCTCTCAAACTCCTCCTTAATAACTACAACAGAACACACAGCCATAATACAAGACACAAATCACTTTTCAATATCTCACGTGTCCATCTTTCCCTATGCAAAAATGCTATGCATATAAAGGGCTCGAAGATCTGAATTTCATTGCCAGAACACACAAAAGGACCCCTGCCTGCAAATCAATTTAAGGCCCTGCTTAGAAATCACTTCATCACCCAAAATTAACCAGACAAACCCTTAGGTAAGTAAATAAGTTTATTCAGGTATACACAAATACAGTTACATAGATTATCATACATAGCAGCATATATGTAGAGAACCTAGGATAACCCAAAAAAGCCAGGCAGAGTGACTTATTTCCATTGGGGTCCTTAATACCTACCAGTTACTCAACAGCTACTCAGAAAATTTCAAAAAATTTAAGACTGCTCAACTAATTGATAATTTACTTAAAATTGTTTCAATTTCATTATTGTACATTGCTGATGATTGCTCAACCATTTACCCAAAACTTCAAACATATAAGTGTTTCAATCTCATTGTTTTAAAATGTACTAAATTGTAATGTACTTCAAACTGTAAATTGTTTTACTTGTTCTAAATTGTAATACTGTACTTTTTATAAACTATATCAAAACTGTACTTATTCTATACTGAACTGTTCTAAAAGACTTATTAAAGTCATAGAGCATTACCTAATAGAATACCCCATTCTCTTATACTAACTGTAAATCATCTAATGACCATATGAATTGTCACTGCCTTATTAGTCTTAAGATAATTTTAAATTTGCCCGAAATGATCTGCATAAAAAGGGGCTTTTGGCATGTACATACACCCAACTATTATATTCCTTTGTACAATCATGTATCACGTCAAAATAAAAATTTTATTATTATGAATTAGTATTATTATAAATTATATCATTCACATTCTCATGAAATTCAAATGTGGGTTATCATAAGTAAGTTTATTTAGGTACAATTACATTTTTCCGATTATTACAATTGTCTTGCATATTAACATATGTAAATTACCTAGGATAACACCCAGAAAGTTATCTCCAGTGGAGGTCCTTGTAATTACCTGGAGAGAGTTCCGGGGGTCAACGCCCCCGGATAAGATAAGATTTCATTCGGATTTTTAACCCCGGAGGGTTAGCCACCCAGGATAACCCAAGAAAGTCAGTGCGTCATCGAGGACTGTCTAACTTATTTCCATTGGGGTCCTTAATCTTGTCCCCCAGGATGCGACCCACACCAGTCGACTAACACCCAGGTACCTATTTGCTGCTAGGTGAACAGGACAACAGGTGTAAGGAAACGTGTCGAAATGTTTCCACCCGCCGGGAATCGAACCCGGGCCCTCCGTGTGTGAAGTGGGAGCTTTAGCCACCAGGCCACCGTTACCCACCACTGTTACCCACTAACTCACCATAATCCTCCTGTAAGAAATCAATATTTATTAATGATCACATCTGATCATTAATAAAATCTATATTCAACATAAAATGTGTTGTCATTACTGTAGTTCCTCTTCCAAGAAACTCCTACGCTATAATACTTATATACATACATCCTCAATATTTACGATGTTAGCCCACTACCTGTTGGAATACTATTATAATTTCTATGACGACAATCAGGTTAAAATGCTGCATTACTCGGGGAGATTTAACTTGTGCATAGTACTGTATTCATTATGAGAGCTGTGCCAAGAATAATCCTACCAGCAAATGGGATTAATTCCACCTTCTATTTCACAACACTTTGTAATAGATTTCTATTTCATCGATTCAATATCCAAGGATCACTTGTTACACGTGAATGATGGTAGTAATTGTAATATCTAAGAGAATAAGTTGTGGAGTGTTGAGCACATGGGAACCGCGACACACTGGGGCACTCAGGGCAGGCCAGGCACTGTGCCAAGGCTTTACCCTGGCATCCCACCCTCA